GTGATTAGGCCATGAGGGCAGAGCACTCATGAATAGGTTTACTGCCCTTTTAAAAATGCCCCAAAAGAGACTCCTCACTTTTTCTACCTTCTGAGGACACAGCTAGAAAGCATTGTCTATGAACTAGAAAGCAGGTCCTCATGAGACACTGAATCTACCAATGCCTTGATTTTAGACTTCCCAGCTTCCAGAATTGTGAAAAATAAATTGCTATTGTTTATAAGCGACTCAGTTTACAGTATGTTGTTACAGTATCCCAAACAAAGAATATATAAACACTATTTAAAAATTAGTTTATAATATGATAAATACTAATAGATAGAACCCATTAAATGAGCTGAGTCCTCAATAATTTTAGATTAATGATTTTCTAATGGAAAATCACTGCTCTAAGTTTTATCGTAGTCACATTTAGGATTACCACTTAGTCTACCTGCAAATAACATGATTCCACATTGCATATAGTGTAAGAGCCTCGAAACAGTACACTTTCATTTTTTACCTCCATTTTTGAACTATCGTTATTATGTATTTTATTTCTATGTATTTAGAATGTTTTATCATAAATGTTATTTTACATTATCCTATATAGTTACCTTTTGAGTAATCTTTATTTCTCTGGGAAGATACAAAATTTCCTTTAGGTCTCATTGTTTTTTTCTGCCCAAAGAATTTTCTTTAACGTTTCCTGGAGTGTGGCCTGCTGTCAATGAATTCTCCCCAAACAGAGAAATCTTTATGAGTCATAAATATCAGTTAGTTTTGATGAATGACAGGATTAGAGCAGACATAGAAAATAAGAGGGAGATATTTTAGAGCTGGCGTTGGCAAGATTTAGCAACATGGATGGGGGATAGAGTGTAACATGCTGAAATGCCTCTTAAACATCATAGCCAGGGAAACAGGAGAAAAGATTAAATACTGAGAAAGTACATTCAAAAGCATTATTATAATTTGCAGATTGTGAGATTGTCCATTTGGACAACCCAGCCTAGAATCCACCAAAAAAAATCACGAAACTTATTGAGTTAATGTAAGTGTATAAATATAATAGCTTTCCTATATACAAGAAATATCCTGTTAGAATATTCAGTGGTAAATAACATCAGAAGCAAGAAGTAACCTGTTAGAATATATAATAGTAAACAGCAGCAGCAGCAACAACAAATCAATTACAAAAATGCTGGATCAAAATATAACAAGCACCTAAAACACCTGGGGTAAGAAGCAAGCTTATTAGCTTGGAATGTAAAGAGTCAATGAAAACTATAAAAGACATGAAGGAAAAATTAATAGTTAGAAAGATATACTTTGAAATACGAGGTTTAATATTTTATTATTTTTTAAATATTTTATTGCGTTTTAGGTTTTGGGGTACATGTGAAGAACATGCAGGATTGTTGCATAGGTACATACATGGCAATGTGGTTTGCTGCCTTCTCCCCATCACCTATATCTGGCATTTCTCCCCATGTTATCACTCCCCAACTTCCACCCGCCGCTGTCCCTCCCCTAGTTCCCCTCAACAGACCTCAGTGTGTGTTGCTCCCCTCCCTGTGTCTATGTGTTCTCATTATTCAACACCCGCCTATGAGTGAGAACATGCGGTGTTTGATTTTCTGTTCTTGTGTCAGTTTGCTGAGAATGATGGTTTCCAGGTTTATTCATGTCCCTACAAAGGACATGAACTCATCGTTTTTTATGGCTGCGTGGTATTCCATGGTATATATGTGCCACTTTTACATTTGTCCATGATCAACAAATATAGATTGAATTAATTTATAATAAAAAATCAATCACCAAATTGATTTGGTGATTAGATAAAATGATCCTAAAGCTTATTGTGAAGGAATGAGAGCACAATATGAACGATACATTTTTTTAAATGCTAAGGATACTTGTCCTATCAAGTATTGACAAATATTATAAAGTCATAATAATACCAGTAGCAGAAAGAATAGATATAGTGGTGAAGTAAAATAAAAATCATGGCCATGTTTCAGTGTATATCGGGATTTATTTGTGATAAATATGGACCAAATTGGTGGGAAAAATAACAGATGATAGTATTGAACAAAAAAGTTGCCATTTTTAAAAATAAAAATAGATCTTTACTTTATAACATATGTTAAAGTAAGCTTCAGCTCTTGATTCATTTTTACTAAATTGCTTGGCATCTTTGGATACAGATTCAATGCTATTTTTTTTTTTTTTTTTTTTTTTTTGAGACGGAGTTTCGCTCTTGTTACCCAGGCTGGAGTGCAATGGCGCGATCTCGGCTCACCGCAGCCTCCGCCTCCTGGGTTCAGGCAATTCTCCTGCCTCAGCCTCCTGAGTAGCTGAGATTACAGGCACGTGCCACCATGCCCAGCTAATTTTTTGTATTTTTAGTAGAGACGGGGTTTCACCATGTTGACCAGGATGGCCTCGATCTCTTGACCTCGTGATCCACCCGCCTCGGCCTCCCAAAGTGCTGGGATTACAGGCGTGAGCCACCGCGCCTGGCCCTCAATGCTATTCTTATCAAATCACTAACATCATTCCTCACAGAATTAGGAAAAACTATTTTAAAATTCATATGGAACCAAAAAGGGCCTGAATAGCCAAAGCAATCCTAAGCAAAAAGAACAAAGCTGAAGGCATCATACTACCCAATTTCAAACCATACTATAAAACAACAGTACCCAAACAGCTTGATACTGGTACAAAAACAGACACATAGAACAATGGAACAGAATAGAAAACTGAGAAATAAAGCCACACACCTACAACCATCTGATCTTCGACAAAGCCAACAAAAACAAGTGATGGGGAAAGGATTCACTATTCAGTGAATGGTGCTGGGGTACTGTCTAGCCATATGCAGAAGACTGAAGCTAGACCCCTATGTTTCACCATATACAAAAATTAACCAAAATGAATTAAAGATTTAACGGCAAGACCTCAAAATATGAAATTCATGGGAGACAACTTAGGAAATATATTCCTGACATGGGCTGTGTTAAATGATTTTTGGCTAAGTCCCCAGAAACAATTGCAACAAAAACAAAAACAAGTGGGCCCTAATTAAACTAAAGAGCTTCTTTACAGCAAAATAAACTATCAACAGAGCAAACAGACAACTTACAGACTGGGAGGATATCTTTGTAAACTATGCATCTGACAAAGGCCTAATATCCAGAATCTGTAGGGGACTTAAAGAAATTGACTAACAGAAAACCAGATAACCCCATTAAAAAATGGGCAAAGGATATGAACAGACAGTTCTCAAAATAATACATACAAGTGGCCAACAAACTTATAAAAAATGCTCATCACTAATCATCAGAGAAATGAAAATCAAAACCACAGTGAGATACCATCTCACACCGGTCAAAATGGCCACCGAAAAGTAAAAAAACAAAACAATAACGAAAAACAAAACACATGCTGATGAGGTTGTAGAGAAAAGAGAACACATATACACTGCTGATGAAAATGTAAATTAGTCCAGCCACTGTGGAAAGAAGTCTGGAGATTTCTAAAAGAACATTTTTAAACAGCTTCCATTTACCTAGCAGTCCCCTTAACCACATGACAATAAATCATTCTGCCAAAAAGACGTGTGCACTCACATGTTTGTTGCTGTGCTATTCAAATAGCAAAGACATGGAATCAACTCAGGTGCCCACCAATGATAGATTGGATAAAGAAAATGTGGTACATGTATGCCATGGAATATTATGCAGTCATAAAAAAGAATGAAATCATGTCCTTTGCAGCACCATGGATGGGGTGAAAAGCCATAATCTTAAGTAAATTAATAAAGGAACAGAAAACCAAATACTGCATGTTCTCAGGTAAAAGTGGCAGCTAAGCATTAAGCACACATGATGGACATAAATATGGGAATAATAGACACTGTGGACTACAAGAGGGTGGAAGGGGGCAAGGCTGGGTTAAAACACCACGTATCAGATACTATGCTTACTACTTGGGTTATGGAATCTATACTCCAAATCTTGGCATCTTGAAATATTCCCATATAATAGACCTGCACATATACCCTATGTATCTAAAATAAAATTTGAAAAGAAAAAAAATCTAGACAGATTAGAGATTTGAATGTAGAAATAAAACCACGACATTACTAGAAAAAAATATAAGTAGGTATCTGTATCATCTTGAATTTGAGGATTTTCTAACATGACAAAGAGAAACATCAAGAAAATGACTTATTTGGGCTCATTCAAATTGTATTAACTTAAAACAAAATACCATAAAATTGTGTTTATAAATTTTAAATGAATCCACAAAGTATAAAAGCTTATAATAAACCAGGTGTAAATATAATTAATGTATGAACCCAGTTTACAAATATGGAAAAATGTGTATATGCTAATTTAAAAATGGACAAATCATATATCCTGGTAATTTGTAGAATAACAAATATGATGGACAAAGAGGCAGATGGCACGATTTTTAACCTCAGAAATCATGGAAGAAAATGTTAGAGGAAAAGATTAGAGAACTTGAAAGAGCACACAGGATAGGTCAAATAAGGGAAAATAAAAAGAGAAAAGAACAAGGAAAATGTCAAAGATAAAATGTATGATAAGTTGTATTACTTTTTATTATAAATACTTCACCCTCCTAGGTGAAATATATTAATACTTCCTTCCACAATGAAGTCAGTTTGGCTATGTAATTTTCTTTGGCTAAAGAAGTTTTACAAACTACTCTGTTCTTTGTCAGATTTTTTTTTTTTCTCTTGGCTACCATGATGGGTAGACAATAACAAATGGAGACTGCTTAGTTCATGTGGATCCAGACTGAAAAGTTCATGCAGCAGTTCCACATTCAAACTGTGCTAGAAACACAGCCTGCCTGAGACATATATACCTTTGTTGTTTTAAGTCACTGAAACAATGGGGTGATTTGTTGCTTTGTTATAACCTTGTGTGACCTGACTGATACATCTGGCCTACTATATGTTTCTGGCTTCTTACTGGCAAATTGACCAACCAGGTAGAGCAGAGATTCCCAACAGAAAATGTAAGCTGTCTAAAGGATATGTATAAGAAAGAGGTTGAGTAGGAGAGAAATGTTAAAAAATCAGGAAAGAGAAAGTTAGTAGGAGAGAAATGTTATCACATCAGCTGGTTGTGAGTGGGAAGATTTAGGCAATATGGAATGAGAAATAAATGCAGTGAAAAGAAAAATGGTAATAGAGAGTTGAGTGTCAAATGCCTCAATTAGAAGTTTGTATTGGGTTGAGGACTTGACTTGAATGATAGTATTTCATTTTGGAAAACACTGCTGTCTGGTTTTGTTACATAATTTTTAAGTGTTATAAATTAAACTCTATTTGTTTATCCGCCCTTCTTTCCCTTTTATTCTCAAAATGTATATTAATTCCAAGTCAGTAACAACAATAAAAACAACATATTGTAGTTCTTTCAATTTGAAGTTCTTATTTGGTTTATTTTAATTCACTGTTTCTGATCTGATATATTGGTCTTTCCATTTATTTATTTTTTCATTCATTCACTCACATCATGGTATACATAAAGATAATACTTATATAGCAGTTACACGTAAACAGAGGAGACTCCTTATACTGAGACGTTACCTAACTGGGCTGGCCAGACTGTTCCATAGCAGAGAGGATCTATGCCTTGGCATACCTGTAACTCACTGAAGGGACCATTGTTGAAAAGCTCTGTGATAAGTAGTAGTGAGGCTGAAATAAGCAATTGTACAAATCATTTAGCAGAAAGCTTATTCTTGCTAAATTATGGCAAGTGAGAAGTGCAATGAGATGGACATTATTCATATCATCCACTTTTTCTTTTCTTTTTTTTTTTTTTGACAGAGTCCCACTCTGTCACCCAGGCTGGAGTGTGGTGGCAGGATCTTGGCTTACTGAAATCTCACTTTCTGGGTTCAAATGATTCTCCCACCTCAGTCTCCCAAGTAGCTGGAACTATAGACATATGCCACCACACATGGCCACTGTTTGTATTTTTAGTAGAGACAGGGTTTCGCCATGTTGACCAGCTGATCTCGAACCCCTGAGCTCAAGTAATCTACCTGCCTCAGCCTCCTAAAGTGCTGGGATTACAGACGTGAGCTCCCAGGTCTGGCCATATTCATCTGTTTCTTAAGTGCAGCCCACTAAAAGTGATGGAAATAAAGCTGTTACGACATGTCTTCTATTTCAGGAATGGACCTGAACTGGCCTCCCGTCTGGGAATATTAACTTGGATTTACATAGCACACTTGCTCAAACATTCTGATAGTCACTGCTAGAGGCTTGCTTTATCCTAACATCTTCTAATCATCACATTTTCATAATGTAAATATTCCTGGACTCAAGTATAATTTCTCTTTCCTCATCTAAAATCACTTCATACTCCCAGCCATATATACGTCTCCAGGTCTCTCTCTCATATTGATATGTGTCATTTTGTTCAAGTGTATTCAGTTTATCCCTTTAAAATATACTTGTCAAGTATGCTATATAAATAATTCATGGTAAATTGATATTTTATGTGCCCCTCTCTTAAACATTGAGAAATCATTTCTCTACCTTCCTAATACTGATGTATTATGTTTACTAATTACTATTGTATCTAAATTATTTAAATATAAATTAATAAAATGCCAATTGTTTAAATGGAAAAATAAATAGGATGGGGCAGGAACATGCTCAATTGTCAGTGGACCCATTCTATTTCTGTTCCAGTTATTTCAATCATAAAACTCGTAAGACCCCTAAACTAGAGTTTTACCAGTAGAATCCTAATAACTTTTTTTTGACATACCAACTGTTCATTTTCCAGGGGTGTCTAAAGAATGGCATGATAACCACAGAGAATGCAGGTAACAGAGAAGCTTTGTGTTACTATAAAGCTGTTTATATCATAAATAGGACTAGAATGCATGTGCCTCCAGTAGCATCCTACTGCTGGACCTAATAAAGTGCACTGGCTCAGCAGTTGCAAAGCTCAGGGTTGCTATTTTTATGGAAAGATTTCAGACCCATGGTGTGCGACTGGGACACAAACTTGTTTGCCTCTTTGGATGAAAAATACACATGCTTCTTTGGAGTGCATTAAGTGTGGTGATACAGGATATGTGCACATCAAAATTAACGACAGTGGCATAGCAGGTTTGAGATATCCTGAATGTGAGTACCAACTGCTTTTCTTTCTCATTATTTAATCTTAGTTTTTTCTCTTAACTTGCTTGTCTAACCTTTGCTGGATCCTCTCTCTTTTAACTTCTTTAATAACAGTGAACCTGATGTTGGAGGCTTTAGCCCTTATATTTCCCTTCTCTTCATTTTGGAGTTCAGCATCAGTTACATTTGATGATACCTACATCTGTGTCCCTAGATCAAACTTTACTCTGAGATCCAGTATTGTATCTTTAAGCCCCTGACATCTCAAGTTCAACTCATCCTGAATGAGTTCCTAATCGCAGCTTTAATGTACAACTCATGGTACCGTCATTCACAGAGACACTGAAACTCAGCAGCCAAGGTGGCATCACATTACTTTGTTTTCCTTTGCTTCCTCTAGCTTATTTATTTGATTTGTATCAGCTGTATTTCTTGAATATTTCTTGCATGTGTTCCTTCCTTTTCATCCCCATTTGAACTGGCCCTTATCACCTCTCCTGTGGACTATGATAGTGACTCGTTGGCTCTAGCTTTCTCCCACATCCATATCTCACATGAAGGATATGAGTGTAACCTTTGTAATGTCCTACTGTCTACACGAAGGATCATGATTCTAAAACACAAATCAGATCCCATCACTTCCCACATTTCTCCACTGTCTGGTCCTCAGCATTTATATTTGTGTGCACACAGGACCTCTGTGACCTGGCATCTCTACTTAATCACTCACTGTCTCTGGAAGTGAGTACACTCTGCGGCTTCACACCCGTTGGCCATGTATATGCTTCTCCTCCGAAGTAGCCCTTCACTCCTTGTCCACTGGCTAAACCCCAGTTTTCTATTTAGAAATCAGCCCAAAAACCTGCTGTGCAAATTCCTGGGTTTTTTTTGCTTGTATGTCTGGGCTGTCACTGTGTTCTTCTTCCTCAAGGCTTATTTTAGCTATTACCATAGGCAGTTGTAAGTCTGTATACTGGTCACATTTTACAATAGACTGTATGCCTCTTTCGAAAAAGAACCATGCCCCAGACTCAGCTCAGTGCCTGGCACATAGTAGATATTCAGCAAGCAAGTGTTAAGTATATGAATGAGTAAATAGATGTGTAGATTTTTGGCATTAAAATAATTTAGTACCTCCCCTCTTTCTGCTGTACTAGGAGCAGTAGTTTGGAGGTGACTTAGTGATGTATTTATTTTATTTGCCTATGGGATTAACAAGGTTATGGCAATTTATAACTGGTATGGCAGCAAAGGTATTGGTGAGGGCAAGAGCTGGCTGTGCTAGGTTTCTTTCACTTATTTGTACTTTGGTGGAATTAAAACCTATTTTTCTATTCTGGTTAGTGTCTTGCATGTCCAGATAGAGACAAAAGTGATTGGCATTAAAAAATATTGTTTGATGAGATTTTAAAATAATCTTTGGGTCTTCTAGAAAAAAAACTTGGTTATGGTTTTTAAATATAAATACAAAAGCAAAATCTGTACTTTCTGAGTAACCTGTATAAAGTTTGTACAGTGACCTATGTCTAAGGTGCCCTGAAAAATGTAGCTGATTTTAAGCAATTCAGACTTTACAGGTCATACAATGTTGTATTTTTTCAGGCTCTGGGAGGCAGTACTATAACAAACTCTTGGGAACAAAAAGGGGGTTTGTTTTTATTAAACAAAACATGATATACTAAGAGCAAAACTATTGTTTTTGACAAGGCATGTAAGAATTCAGTTAGATCGGACTCAAATGAAAACAAAATAAGCTAGTTTTGATTCAAAAGCTGTGGACATTGCCTTGCTATGAAACGAAGAGTCCGTGAGGTTGTAGTCATGGCAACCAGTGTGGAGGGAGCTGAGCTGTGAGTGCCCTTGTCTTCCATCACTGTCAAGTTATAGATTCCCTATTTGGAGAAATGGTATCGGCAAGTTAGTAATAAGAAATCACCAACTGAACCTTTTAACACCAACAAACCTGTATTTTGTGTAGTGAGCTAATGGTTATGACTTTTAAGGTTACCTCCTACCAGGTTACAAATTGTAATTATTTCCAATAAAAAACCTGAAGCTTTTGGTTTTATTTTTTCTGCTCTTTACAGAAAGATCTTGCAAAGGTTATTCTTAATTCATTGCCTTTCCACATGGGCCCCTGTGTTGGGGAGCAGTTAGTTCTGGTTGTATCAGAAAGAGTGTCCTGTCATTTTCGAGTCCACCCTGCCTTAGTTACTCTCTTAACAGGCCTGCACGATAAGCTGTCAGCATCTGAAGAAGGAACTGATGGCGTAACAATTTTCTCAATGTAGGGATAAGATTGAGGGGACACACAGTGGCTTCAGGAGGTTTGCCTGAAGTTCTTTTCAGTAAAGATTAGATCCACTGTCCTTGACAGGCCCCTCAAAGCTGGCAGTGGTTTCTGAAGCAGAATCTTGGTTCCAACTTTTCCAGAAGCTTCCTCCTACTCTTCTCTTCATTCCCTCTTCACCATCATCACAACAATGTACACGCAGGGAACTCTTGATGATGAGTTAACATCACTTAATGGCCGGGCGCGGTGGCTTACGCCTATAATCCTAGCACTTTGGGAGGCCGAGGCAGGTGGATCATGAGGTCAAGAGATCAAGACCATCCTGGTCAACATGGTGAAACCCCATCTCTACTAAAAATACAAAAATTTAGCTGGGCAAGGTAGCATGTGTCTGTAGTCCCAGCTACTTGGGAGGCTGAGGCAGAAGAATTGCTTGAACCCAGGAGGCAGAGATTGCGGTGAGCCGAGATTGCACCATTGCACTCCAGCCTGGGTAACAAGAGCGAAACTCTGTCTCAAAAAAAAAAAAAAAAAAAAAACCACTTAATGATGG